CCCCCACCCCACCCCCGCTTTAACAGAAATCGAAGAAACGTAATAATTTGTTACTTGTTCAACAATCAGATCGCAGAGAAACAGGTTGATCATGATTTTTGGGGTCGCCCAGAGGAAATGACAATGAACAGGACTGCATTCAAAGTCACCACGGACGCCCCTGGAAGTGACGTCGCTGGCGCGGTATCAGCTGCATTGTCTGCCGCGTCGATCATGTTCGCAGATTTAGGTAATATTTTACTGAACTATTTATCTAGTAAATTAGATTGTTTTATTGTCCATCGGATTAATGCTTGTAAATGAAGAAGAGATCATAATGATTAAAGTGCAAAGAACATCATATACTGGACAGGTATAAACCGTTACGTTTTTACATAAACTTTTCATAGCGTCACTAAATTTAAAGGGCGGTTGCCGTCGCACAGCGCGTGTTCGAATTTCGTATTAACAAACAATATGTTTTACATGCGTTGTATACGTTACTACGAGTCTCTTATCGAACAGAACGCAACGCGAGGAACACCGCTCTTTAAGGCGTGTCGTACTCTCCTGGCGAGAATTGTCAAAACATTTAACAAGTCAGTTCATTGTTAGGATTCTATTTTGTTTTTAATAGAAGTTTAATATGATTTTATTTCAAAATTATTGCAAAAGCAACAACAGTAAAGACGATGACGATTTCACGATGACGCCAAATCATTACTCTCAGCGCCCTTGTATGTCCAATTAAACTATTCTTTTTGTTTTTATTTTGCTGCATATGGTGAAACTACAGTCTGTAATTCTTGAATGGAGCATTGTAATTGTCCGACTGAATATTTTGTTTTCTGTAATGCAGATCCAGTTTATGCCAATCAACTGCTGAATCATTCCAAACAATTATTACACTTTGCTGACAAATACCGTGGATTGTACGCAGAATCTTTCCCTGACATTAGTCAAGCCATCTATATTTCGTAAGTCATACTAAGCCAACAATATCACATATTATCGAACGAAACCTTGTATACTAGTTATATTTTGTGTAATATTTATGGAAATGTGCAATAGTTCACAAAGCTTCAAAGTCTTTTGATTAGTGATTTTATTACATTTTAAAAGTTTGACAATTACCAAACAGTCACATGTTCACGTGAATAATACTATATTGTCACGTAAGTAATTTACCACCTGTCTATTGTAGAGGGACCCAATACGAGGACGAGATAGCATGGGCGGCTATTTGGTTGTATAAGGCAACTTACGAGGAAGAATATCTCAATAAAACGGAGAGTATGCTACCCACCATGAGAAAAGGACGTTCATGGGCGTTTGGATGGTCGCAGGTGGACGCAGGTGTACATGTATGTTCGATTTTTAGTTGTCGTTATATTCTTTCCCTTGTCGATCTCTCTGCACAGTACGACCTTCATACACCTAGCGCCCTCTGTCGACAACGCACACTTCGAACACAAATTCCTAATTTCCGAGTTACTATTTTTCTCACGAAATTCGATAGAGGGCGTTCTCAAAGTACCCGGATGACAGTCCACTCAACGTTCGTGGTGGGGTTGAAATTTGAGCGGCGTCTGCTGTAAGCAATATACTTAACGCCAGTGGATTCGAATGCGTCGTGGGGAACCTGAGTGTACGCCAAACTATATTCCTGGATTTGTTCACGGCATTTTCTATCCTGCGCCAGTATTTTTTTAGTTCAATAACTAGAGACACTCG